TAATCAGCAATTTATAATCCCATGCAGTTTGATGGCTTGATGGTTATAACTTTAAATTTTTTACTGGAGGTCCCAAGGTCGAATCCCCTTGGGCATTTGTTGTATATTTAGTGGTTGGTATAAATATTTTTGTTGTTTTCGAATCCCTTGGGCATGTGTTGCATTTTTGTTGTATATATAGTGGTTAGTATAAATATAAATATTTTTGTTGTGTATATAGTGGTTGATATAAATATAATATTTTTGTAAATAATATAAAAGACATAAAAAATGAAAAATAAAAAAATTAATTTTTTATATAACCGTTAATTTTTGTTGTATATAGTGGTATAATTATTTTTGTAAATAATATGAAAGGTATAAAAAAATAAAAATAAAAAGTTTATTCTATTTGAAATTTCATCTTTCTACTAACAATCTCTTTTACTAAATTTATTATAGAAACCTAAAAAAATAAATTTTTGAAAAATTGAAGTGTTATTTCCAAAATTTGTACGCATTTTATTAAGTTTTACATTGATAACCAAATCTTTTATTTTATTTATGAATTTTTACATTATAAATCATGTAATGTACTATTTTTCTTACAGTTGTCAATAATACATTTTAAATTAGATAATATTATAAAATATTTTTAATTTGTTATTATTTGTCTAATAAAATAATTATAAAATGCAAACTAATAATTATAATTTCAGTATATAATATTATAATTAGTGAGGTTGTAATAATTTTAGATTATAGTTAGTTAGGCTGTAATAGTTTGGGTTTTTTTAGCGGGTTAGGGTTTTTCGCCGAAACGAGATTTTAATGGCCATTCTTTCATTGATTAGTCTACTCTTTATAATAGTCCATATATAATTATATATTTTATCCATGATAATTCTATGATTTTTCTTTTATGTGATGTAAATTTAATAGTTAAAATAAATTTATACAGGGCAAGAAGATCTCAATATTCACAAATTGATAAAAAAAAATGAAAGTTGATGCAAATTTAATAGTTAAAATAAATTTATACAGGGCAAGAACATCTCAATATTCACAAATTGATAAAAAAAATGAAAGTTAATAATGTAGTACCCTCATTTTTTATTGGATTCCTAAAAAATAACATTTATAATGAATTTTAATAATTTTTCGGATTTTTTTGAAGCTTTAATCTGACTGATTCAGCCGATTCCCGATCCGGATCGCCGATTCGTCGATGCGAATCGGTTTTTGAGGTGCCCAATCTGGGTCACCGATCCGTTTTTTAAATCATTGCATTGGACTAAGAAACAACTCAATAGTAGAGGGTGATGTTGAAAAATTTTTAGATAATTTTTTTTTTTTGGGAATTGCAAGGCTAAAAGTAGTGGCATTTATGAAAAACTATAAAAAAAAGGAGTGAATGTAAATACACTTTTGAGGGCTATTTTTTTAGGAATTAGTAATTCGGGAGATATAAATGTAAATTTTGCTTCCTCTAAAATGAATCTGCTACAAATGGCAAGTAATGGGAGGTTTGATTAAAGATGAAGGCAAGAATTTAGGGGCATTACAGCCAAACAACCCCAAACCTCAATATTTGAATTTAAATTAAGTGAAAATCCAAATTATGGCCATTTAAATTCTAATTTAAATTAGCTGACCCCAAATAGTTGGAAAGAAACTCTTATGACGATAATGAATTTTTTAAAAGGACACAACTTCTATGAGTCCATATAGAAATGAGTCACTTCTTAAAATCTATTTTTGAGATGGATTTTTGGACCTAATTTTTAAGGACATGTAATCTTTAACATGGAGATCATGAATATGAAAAAATTAAATAAATTTTGAAAATTTAAAAATAATAATTATGTTAAAAAAACATTTGGACAATTAGTTTCAATTGTTTTTAGATGGACCACCTATTTGCATCCATCTTTAAGATGGATGTTTTATACCACGGGGACTTCAAATATAGAAATACGGTCCCCACCGCATGAAACAATTTTCCTTTTTCAAAAGGGAAAGTATACAATGAGACTATTAGAAGGTGATCACAATTAATCTTGACCCTTGGATGTGAAATTGAATGGCTATATCTATTTCATTGACTAAGTTCAAAGTTTAAAAGAAAATTTTTCAAACTTTATTACACACCCAAGCTATTAGATTTCACATCGAATTGTTATGAGTAATTATGACACATTGTACCAAAGGTAAATGATCTCATCATATACAATCTAAAAAATATGTTGATGCATATTTATAAGGAAAAAAAGTATATAAGGTCTCAACCTTATACTATATAGGTAATGTGCACCTACAAAACCCACTAGTGAAGGTTGTTTTTATACAGGAAAACTTTAAAATTGATCATCTCAACCACGAGATTTATAGGGATAGAAAAAAAGAAGAAGAAGTGGATTTCTAGTATTAAAAAGAGTTCATCTTCTAATAAATTATCTGGACTGTCGATTTTCAAGATTTTCAAATGTTTATAGATTTGTTTAATCGTCACTATTTATCAAACTTTAAAGTTCATAATTAGGGCCCACAATAGATTTAATATTATGGCAAGGCTTTGGAGCACCAAAACTACATGTTCGGTATAGTTTTGAGGTAAACCGTACCTCAATAGTACAAGGTTTACGCATTATACAAACCTCACTCTATTTATAAAGCTATTTCTTCTGAGGTTGAGCATTGGTCATTCAGGTTGGATGGTCGTAGGTAGAACGGTCCACCGTACACCACAAATTTCTTTATATAGTCCCTCACAGCGCCACGCACGCGTGAATTTCCTGGCTCTCATATATCACGTGTCTCCAACATGAATAAATATAGAGAGAAGGGAAATGAGGGCCCTTTTCGAGGTTCTCTTCGATTACCGTTCTGGGAGAGAGAGAGTTTTGAAGTTCTCTCTCCGATTACTTAGAGAGAGAGAGAGAGAGAGAGAGAGAGAGTGTTGTTAGTTGTGTTCTCTCTACTAATTACGTCGTCTCGTCCTACTCGTGTCGTAACTAAACTCTAATTAAGTACGAACTACTTCTTACAGAGGAGA